CAGAAGGATAGACAATACACCAAGTAGGCTAATTGTTAATGGTTGAGACTAGCTGTATATAATGTGAATGTATGGTCACTTTGACTTCTGCATTGTTTTAAATGTAAAAATAATAAAAATATATTAAAAAGAAAAAAAAGAAGACAAAAGTACAGCAAACAAAAACAAAACAAATCTATAAGGCTGAAATATGTGGTTCATTTCCACTGTTTGAAACTTACATTTTTTTCATTTTCCAGAGTAGAATCCATTGTTTACCTGCCTTGTGAGATGCTGATATATTTATAGTTCAGATCCAATAAGTAGGCATCATTTTCACCCTCTTTTTTTTAATGAACTGAGAATAAATCCATTGTTGTAAAATGTACACATAGAGTACACAAAATGTATACATTAGAGCCGAGGTGGCGCAGTGGTTAAGTACAGTACTGCAGGCTACTTCAGCTGTCTGCTACCTGCAGTTCGACAGTTCAACTCTCACTGACTCAAGGTTGACTGACTCAGCCTTCTATCATTCTGAGGTGGATAAAATGAGGAGCCAGATTGTTGGGGGCAATAGGCTGACATTGGTAAACTGCTTAGATAGGGCTGTAAAATCACTATGAAGCGCTATATAAGTCTAAATGCTATTGCTGTACATGTAAAACAGGAACCTGACCAGTTATTTATAATGCCTCTTTCCTCATTTGCAGTTTCTCTTTATAATCAGGAGTCTCTGCCAAATCCAGTGTTCTTCAAACATACCGGAGTGGCTTTATCTCATCTGAAATTGAAACTCTAGATAGTTTTGTGTCTCTCCCTGACCAACTATGAAGCCACTTCCTTGCCTATATTCTGTTGACGTCTAGGCTCCTCCTCCTCCTCCTCCTCCTCCTCTTAACTTGGGAAGCCACATATTACATTGTTATAATCCCTCATTCTTTCATTTCCTTTGTGGCCCTACAAAATTGAGCTTTTAAAAATATTTGGATGGTTTATTAGTTGTGGAAATAGGGATAAAACCCTAAGTTATTTGGGTAAAGAAAGACCCTGTTAGATTTCATTTTGAATAAACTATACATCTATCTAGCTTGCTACTCTGGAAAAATTAAAGTTAAAAAGTTAAAGGTTGCAATGACTCAACTAGAAATAGTTTAATGGCACTTGGAAGTTTCCTATGAAACAGAAATGTTTTTCAGGAAGCCAGTAATTATCTAGCCATTGTTTAATTCTGGGAAGGAAGGAAATAAAAAAAGGGGGGGGGGATATTCTGAAATGTCATACATATGTTCGGACACACATGCTACAGAAATTCACCTGCAGTTCCCAGAAATATTTTAGGGAATGTTATTTTTGGGTGTTTACCTAATTAATCCCAACTCTATTGTCAATATTGCCAAGTATTGTTATCGATCATGCAAATGTATTTTTGTAATTGTATTATGATGCACTTTGATAATACTCACGAGACTTCGACTTCTGTATTTAAGTCCCACTTGTGTATTGCTTAGATATTCTCTCCTTTTGAGAATCCTATCATGCACATGGTAGTTATCGATAAGATCTTTTTATCGATTAATAAAGCTTTTTGTTGCCAATAATCTCTTTGTGTTGTTTTTATTACATTTATAGAAAATATCAGGGATATATTTCTCACAATACGACCCCCCAAATTTCTCACAATTTGGGGGCTTGTTATACTGCAATATGCCTGAAAGGCAATGATGTGTCTCTGAAGCGCAAAAATGGTGGAAGCCCTCTGCCTTAGAATTCAAAACATGGAGTTTGTGTTCCCTTCAGGTCCAAAGAGCTGCTCTCATTTTCTTGCCATTGATTGATTCTCTCCTTTCTCCAACTTGGGCCATTCCCTGATCAGGATTACTCGTCTGTTTCAGCCACCTGCACTCTTCACATAGACATAGTGAGGACTGCTTTACTAAGAGAAGCCCTTCCTCCACAGAGTTGGGGATCCAGGCATCGAGGCAGTGATCCTATCACAGCCCTTAACCCAGTCCTTATTCTGTACTTCTCCAGTTGCTGCTTTCTTGTTTACAATCTGAGCCATTTAATACTATCTGGGGATTAAAAAAAAAACAACTCATTTCATTCTGCCACCCACCCATCTACTGTAGTATTTCTTTATGTGAGAATCAATGCCTGTCCTTGAAACAAAACACTAACTCAAAGAAGGTGAAGAGTTGAGATGAATAGAGTAGAAATACTCCTATGTTCTATAGCGCATGTATGTCTCTATGCTGCATAAAACTTTTTCTGAGCCTTAAATGGTCTTTACTTCTGGATTTGTGGCAATTGAATTTCCATGTGTCACTTTTTATTTTTTAATTTTTTATTTTATTCCCCCCCCCCCCAGAATTTGAGTAAATAGAGCGATTGTTGGCAGAAAAGCTTTCCTGGGGAATCGGGGGGGGGGGCTTTTGTTAAAATGGTCATCAACCATAACTGGGCCACCACTTGTTAAAATGTCCTGTAATGACACAGGTGTCCACAAACTCATTGCAGCTACTGTATTGGGTTCCAATTTGCTAGTACCCACAGCTATCATCTTGAGCTCATATGTTG